AGCTAATTATGTTATCACGCGAACTAAGAACAGGTGCATTAGAATATAACTTTTCTAATGATTCGATTCAATGTTATCTCCCTTGTTCCCCCTGGCTGATTAAAGAGCAGAGACAAGCCTATGAGTTAAAACAATTACTTAATCCTTGCGAGTGATGCAGAGAAAACTAAATACCCACATGCAAAAGGAAGAATTTGATGCCTTCCTTCAAGACCTAAAAATAAGAGCTAAGAAAGCTATAAAGCATCTGGCAGAGAGCCCTGGAAAAAAGCTTCCTGACATTGCCATTTAGAGCCAACGATTTCTTCAATGACACTGATTACATATAAAAGAAAAGACCAGATAAATTGTACTGCATTAATATTAAAACGTTTTATACATCAGAGAATTCTATCAAAGGGTAGGCATTTGGCCTAGCAGTTAAGACACAGCTTGGCATGCCTGCATCCCATATCAGAGTGCCCGGGTTCTAGTCCCAGCTCTACTCTTGATTCTAATGTCTTACTATTGTGCACCCTGGGAGGCAGTAGGTAATGGCTCAAGTTGTTGGATTCTTGATAGCCACTTGAGAGACCTGGATTGAGTTCTGGACTCCTGGCTTCGGCCTGGCCCAGCCCTGGCTGTTGTAGGCATTTGGGGAGTGAACTAGCAGAAGGGAGATCTGTCTTTCTGTTTCTTTGCCTTTCAAAGAAATACCACCCTCCCTTTAAAAAAATAACATTACCAAGAAAGTGAAAAGGCAGTAACCATATTGAGAGAAAATATTTGCAATTCATATATCTAATAAGGAACTAGTATCCAGAATACAGAAAGACCTTCTGCAACTCAACAACAAAACATCTTGATTAAAATAATGGGTAAAGACTCTGAACAGACCTTTCTCCAAAGAAGATACACAAATGACCATTAAGCACATGAAAAGACTCAAAATTATCACTAATAATTAGAGAAATGCAAATTAATATCACAGTGATCTACCACTTCACACTCATTAGAATATCTATTATAAAAAAAAGTTTGGCAGGCGCCACGGCTCACTAGGCTAATCCTCCGCCTTGCGGCGCCGGCACACCGGGTTCTAGTCCCGGTCGGGGCGCCGGATTCTGTCCTGGTTGCCCCTCTTCCAGGCCAGCTCTCTGCTGTGGCCAGAGTGCAGTGGAGGATGGCCCAAGTGCTTGGGTCCTGCACCCCATGGGAGACCAGGAGAAGCACCTGGCTCCTGCCTTCGGATCAGCGCGGTGCGCCGGCCGCAGCGCACCAGCCGCGGCGGCCATTGGAGGGTGAACCAACTGCAAAAGGAAGACCTTTCTCTCTGTCTCTCTCTCTCTCTGTCCTCTCTGCCTGTCAAAAAAAAAGTTCAAGGAGAGAGGGAGGAAAGAAAAGTGGAGGAGGAAGAAGAGGAAGAGGAGGAGGGAGGAGGAGGGAGGAGGAGGGAAGAGGACGAGGACGAGGAAGAGGAAGAAGAAGGGTCCCAAGTGTGGAGAAACTGGAACTCTTCTGCATTGCTGGCAGTGATGTAAAAGGATACAATCACTATGAAAAACAGTGTGACGTTGCTTATATAGTACGTTGATCAACATATCATCCACCTCTATATATACACCCAACAGAATCAAAGGCAGGGACTTGGAGACATTTGAACCCCTACGTTCATAGCAGCATTATAATAGCCAAAAGGTGGAAGCAACCCAAGTGTCCACTGCTGGATGACTACATAACCAAAATGCAGTATATATACACAGTGAAATATTATTTAGACTTAAAAAGCAATTAAATTCAGAAACATGCTACAACATACACAGATGAATCTTGAAGACGTTATGCTATGTGAAATAAATCAGACACAGAAAGATGAATGTTTTACCAGCCCATTTATAGAACATACCTAAAATAGTCAAATTCCCTGAGATAGGAAGATTAGTAATTACTGGGGCTGGTGGCACCGCTTTTCAGTTTGGGTAATGACAAAATTCTGAGGATGGTTGGACAAAGATATCAATGTGCTTGATGCCATTGATTAAAATAGTCAATTTTATGATATATATATATCCACAATAAAAGCCATATGCTTGCTGTGTCCTGAATGTTTGTGTCCTCCTAAAATTCACACACTGAGACCCAATCCCAATGTGGGCCTTTGGGAGGTGACCGGGTCATGATGGTGAAGCCCTCACAAATGGGATTTGTGTCTCATAAAAAAGCTTGTTTGCTCCTTCCAACATGTGAGATACAGCAGGTAGCACCACTTGTAGGAACCAGAGAGCAAGCCCTAACCAGATGTGACATCTGCTGGCCTCTTAATCTTGTACTTCCCAGCCCCTAGACCTGAAAAAAGGCACATTTTTGCTGTTTATAGGCCACTCAATTTCATGTGCTTTGTTAAAGCAGCCCAATCTAAGATACTCCTAAAAAAGTCACTGAACCCATTAGCGATTTAGAAGAGTACTACCCTGCCATGTACCATTCCCCTAGCATTGTTCAGACTTAATCTTCTTGGCTGCCTAACATCCCAGCTAACATTCAGAAGCTTTGAGACCAATAGCCTTTTATAATGACAACAGTAACAGCTACTTTTTACTGTTGTATAAGGTGCCAAGATTTTATACAAATGATACCAATAACTCAAGGTAATACACCATTGCTTTCTCTTGAGCCATCTTGCTGCTGTTAACATGGTGGTAGCTGATGGGCTTAAAACGGGGGTGAAGGGTGGCCTGGAAGAAGCAGTAACAGATGTTTGCCTGTCCTGCGAAGTGTGTGTGTATGTGAAAGTTTCCAGTAGAAAAATTAGCTGAGGGGCCAGCGTTGTGGTGTCCTGGGTAAAGCCACCACCTGTGACTCCAGCATCACACGGACACGGATTTGAGCCCCAGCTGCTCCTCTTCCAATGCAGCTCCCTGCTAATGTGCCTGGGAAAGCAGTGGGGGACGGCCCAAGAGCTTGAACCCCTGCACCCATGTGGGAGACACAGATGAAGCTCTTGGCTCCTGGTTTCAGCCTGGCCTAGCCCCAGCTGTTGTGGCCATTTGGGGAGTGAACCAGCAGATGGAAGATCTCTATCTCCCTCTCTGTGTGACTATCTTTCAATTAAATGGCTCTTAAAAAATTTGCTTAGCTTACTCTTTGATCCAGCATTTTAGGTGGTTTTTCATAAATAACTATTGAGAGACTAACTCAGGAGCTGCCACCATGGGGTCCCACGACACAAAGGGCCTTAGAGGGCAGACAACGATATAAAGCCGGGTAAGGACATTGACCTGTGCCTAGAACACTGATTAGTTGACGAGGGTGTGTCAGTGCTCAAAGGACCACTGTCTCCCAGTGTCCCTTTCCTTGAATTGGGGGAACACTCCATTTAAGCTGCACCTGCTTTCTCCAAAGAATCAGCCGAGCTGAGCCCTGTGGTGCCTCGTGGCCAAGAGGTCCTGGTCTCTCGCAAGGATTCGTGATTTTTCTTTTAAGCTTAGAGACTTTCTCCTGTGTGCTGATCACGGCTGGGCAGTTTCTGGTGTCTCAATGGTGCACCCTGCTGGAAGTGCTGTGCCCTGCCAGAAATGCCGTCTGTGGAGGGCTGAGCCATCAACAATGAGCCTGGACTGTGTGCACCGTTGCCAGCAGAGGATTCTGATCAGCCAGTTATCTGACCCTAGGGCTCAGCTCTTTTCTTGTTGGACATTTGTAGTGCACAAGGGGCGGGCCACAGGAGTCTCAGCTGTTATCCTAAGAATGCCCCCTTGCTCCAGGTGTTGCACATCAAAAACTCTCCACCGTGGATTAAGAGCAGAGGTCAGCCCTCATGTGCATTTAGCAAATAGGGATTCTTTCTGATCACTCAGTGCTTTGAAGGGCAGGGGACCAGATGGATGCTGAGCTCTTGGGGAAAGTTAAGGCCCTGTGGGACCTGGGCACTTTTCTCTTTAAAGGGCAATCTCCATATCACATCTCATGCATTAAAAGGCACTCCGTATCCTTTTTCTTTGCTGTTCAAAACACTTGACAATTACTTCTCAAACTTTATTTTTGAAATTATTTGCCTGTAAATATTTTATTTACTGTTATTTCTCCAGTCACATGCATTCCTGTGAATTTTTGTGATGTGAGAAAAACTAAATTTATAAATGAAGAAAATGTTTAACATTATTATCTAATGAAGTTCTCATGATAAATGTTGTTGTTTAAACATGTACTTGGATTTTACACTTTATGTATTAAGACTTTTGTTATTTTTTACCAAAAAATAGTTCTCAGACCTTTTCAAAAACTGAGGCCCTGAATCCTTCCCACGAAAAAAATTGTACAGCCCGTTTGTTTTAATCTGAGAGACAGACATCTTCCATCTGCAGGTTCATTCCCCCTATGCCCTCAACAGCTGGAACTGGGCCAGGCCCAAGGTGGGAGCCCAGAGAACTCAATCTAGGTCTCCCATCTGGATGGCAGGGACCGACTACCGGAGCCATGACTGTTGCCTCCCAGGGTCTGCAAGCGCCGAGCCGGAGTCAGAACTGGAACCCAGGCATTCTGAGATGGAGTGCAGGTGTCCAGATGGGCAGCTTACTTGCTGGCCAAACACCTGCTCTTCTACAGTCCACCGTAGACATCCTCCTAGGCGGGTAGTCTTACCTGGCTCCTTTAACTCATCAGTCTTGTTTTGCACCACATACAATTGTTTTTTGGTTAAAATAGGATCAAATGGAGGAAATATGGCATGATTTAACCTAATAGTTTGGCTTACAAATATAACACATTTTGCCCCTTGAGCATGCAGAGGTAAACTGGAGCAACAAGAGTAATAAGAGCAGGGTGCTGTGCATGCGGTAGGTGCTCAGTGTAAACATTTGCTGAATGAATATGCACACGCACATGAGTAACCAAACCAAACACAACGACATAAGAGCTAAATTGCACAGTCCAGAATTGTGGTCATGGAACTTGTGGAATACATTCATCATGCAAAGCAGTTTGGCAATTACTTTAAAGTCTTCTAAACCAACAATCTGTGTTGAATTTTATTTTGTTTTATTAGCAAGAGGCTGGCATTGGCTGTGGGAGAAAACACTTCTGGCACAGCTCATGGCTGTCTCTTCATTAAATAAAAATGGAAACATTACAGGGGTTTATGGGGAAAAACAGGCATCGCAGACCAGAGAGAGAGGAGGCTTCAGAGGTTGGTAGGGTTTTCATGAAGCATGTTGCTTTTCATGTGCCAGCAAGGACTATCTCCAGGCAGGGCAGGATCTTACATTGGAAGGTCCTGGTGTTGTTTTTCTTCCATTTGAGCTCAGGGAACTCAACAGTTGCATTTTGGGGGGTGGGGGTGGGGGCTGGCAATCCTACAGAAAGAAAAAGATGATCAAATCTTAATAATTCATAGGACTGCCGTGTTGGGTCCAGCTGCTCTCCCTATTGCATCATGGTGTGCCACACTGTGCTGGGACTAGGATGAGGTTTAAGATATAACGTGCATATCTGTCCTAGAGGAGCATCCATCTTGTGCAGGGACAGTCACTGTGAGGCAGGCTGGAAAAGTGTGAAGGGAGCATTGGAGAGAGAGCTGATGGCTGGAGAAACTAGAGGGGGCTTCAGCAGAGAGGCTAACTGGCCCGAGTTTAGAATAGAGATTTTTTTCTTTTCTTCTTCATCTTTTTTTAAAAAGAATTATTTATTTATTTGAAAAGCATAGTGAGAGAGAGAGAGAGAGAGAGAGAGAGAGAGAGAGAGATCTTCCATCTATTAGTTCACTCCTCAAATGGCCACAGTGGCCAGAGCTGGGCTGATGTGAAGTCAGAAGCCAGGAGCCAGGAACTTCTTCTGGGTCTCCCTCATGGTTGCATGGGCCCGAGAATTTAGGCCATCTTCTGCTGCTTTCCTAGGCACATTATCAGGGAGCTGGATCAGAAGTGGAGCAGATGGGATTCGAACTGGTGCCCATATGGGATGTCAGTGCCGCAGGTGGTAGCTTCACCCGCTATGCCACAGCACCAGCCCCTAGAACAGTTTTTCAACTGTGGATATAGATTATAATAACCAGGAGCTGGGTTTTTCCTCCTGGTCTTCTATGTGGGTGCAGGGCCCAAGCACTTGGGCCATCCTCCACTGCCCTCCCAGGTCGCAGCAGAGAGCTGGACTGGAAGAGGAGCAACTGGGACAGAATCCGGTGCCCCAACCGGGACTAGAACCTGCGGTGCCAGTGCTGCAGGTGGAGGATTAGCCAAGTGAGCCACGGCGCCGGCCTACTCAGCATTTAATTCTAGTTTTTTTATTTGTATAAGCTTACATATATTTTTAAAAAAGATTTATTTGTTTATTTGAACGAGTTACAGAAATAAAGAGACAGAGAGAGAGATCTCCCATGTGTTGGTTCACTCCACCAGTGGCCACAATGGCCAGTACTGGGCCAGGCCAAAGCCAGGAGCCAGGAGCTTCCTCCAGGTCTCCCTCGTGACTGCAGGGGCCCAAGCATTTGGGCCACCCTCCACTGCTTTTTCTAGGTCATTAGCAGGGAGCTGGAAAGGAAGTGGAGTATCTGGGACATGAACCCATGACCATTTAGAAACTGGTGTTGTAGGCAGTGGCTTTACCTGCTACATTACAATGCCGGTCCTCATAAGTATTTTTATAATTAGAAAGTAATGTAGGGGCCAGCACCGTGGCATAGTGGGTAAAGGCATCCCATATGGGCACCCTTGTAAGTCCTGGCTGCTCCGATTCTGATCCAGCTCTCTGCTATGGACTGGGATAGCAGTGAAAGATGGCCCAAGTCCTTGGGCCCCTGCACCCGCTTGGGAGATCTGAAAGAAGCTTCTGGCTTCGGATCGGCACAGCTCTGGCCATTGTGTCCAATTAGAGAGTGAACCAGCGGATGGAAGACTTCTTTCTCTCTCTCTCTGCCTCTGCCTCCATGTAATTCTGACTTTCAAATAACTACATAAATCTTAAAAAAGTAATGTAATTATAATGTATTACGTGATTATAGTTCTATTTAAAAATAAAAGATATTAAAATGACACCTGAAAGTACATATATCAGGGCAGTGCTGTGACATAGTGGTTAAGGCTGCTGCCTGCAGAGCTGGCATCCCATATGGGTGCCAGTTTGAGTCCTGGCTGCTCCACTTCCGATCCAGCTCTCTGCTATGGCCTGGGGAAGTGGTAGAAAATGGCCCAAGTGCTTGAACCCCTGCACCTGGCGTCAGAGACCCAGAAGCAGCCCCTGGCTCCTGGCTTCAGATCGGCACAGTTCCGGCCATTGCAGCCAATTGGGGAGTGAACTAGTGGATGGAAGATCTCGCTCTCTCTACCTCTCCTTCTTTCTCTGTGTAACTCTTTCAATAAATAAATAAATCTTAAAAAAAAAAAAAGTAGATGTATCCATTTTCCCTACTCACTCAAGTTTGATCTTTTGTTTTCACAGGTAATCTAGCAAGTCAGTACAAATTAATGCAAGAGCTAGTTTTCAAATTAAATAACCCACGTGCATGCTTTTGTCCTTACTAACATCAAATGAGTTGTTCTCACCTTAAGCCAGTTTTCGTTTGGAGATTTCACAGGCAATCCCCTTGAACATAAACGGGCAGGTACACAAACACTGGCCATCCATCAGAAGTGCAGTGCCTCCGTTTTGGCAGGGGGAGCACTTTTTCGTGCTGAATTCATTGATGTAATCTTCAATTCCTCTCTCCAGATTCTGTCTCTTTTGGTGCGCATCTTTTATTTTCACAGGAATCAGATTATATATAGGGGACAGCTGCAAGAAAGCAAAGCATTTAATTTTAGGTCTTTATCTACTGATGGAGCTTGTAAAATGCTCTTTCTCAATCATGTATTTGTTGATTTACAAATTCACCAAAGGCTTATTGAATGCTTCCTATTAGCTGATATGATGTTATCTTTCAAGACTACATGTGTCATCACTTTGTTACCAAAGTCATGGTGTCTGCTATCATGGAGGTCACGATTATGGAAGGAAGGGGACTGATATTAATAAAACAATCACAGAGACAGCTTTAAGGTGGAAACTGTTATACATGAGATCAGTGACAGGTGTATGTGGTTTTAAAAGGAATAACTGCAGGATATGAGCTTTTCACTAGATAATTTATTGATATATTATTTTGTGATTGCCATGCACAGTCAGGCAGGACTTGAGAACACTAGACTTCAAGTGAACATGTGACTCTGAACAGTAAAGTCATCAAGGATGACTACAATGGACTAAAGACTGACGTAGGGTCTATTCCCCTCTCCTGGACAGAAGGATCAGCAGGACTCTTCCATCAATTTCGGGAACAGGAAGGTACTTCCCAGAACCCCATTCAACAAAGGCATGAAGGATGAACTTTCCTGCAGCAGGGAAGAATGCAAGAAGACTATTCCAGTCATATATTGCAGAATCTAAGAGGTTTCCATATGGAGGCAGGGATGGGAAAATGAATTTTAGTAAGGTAAGGAAAAAGCTCAGGAGGTCTATTGTACATTGTGGTACAAAATAAAATAAAAAGTTCCATGTATTGGAGGGATTATAACATATAGACAAACTTGTGTGACAGTTGTGCCTCAATTAATGATGAGGATACATTCTGAGAAATGTGTTGTTAGCGGATCATAGACCACACCTACAGAAGCCTAGCTGGCATAACCTACCACACACCTAGGCTATAGGGCCTGGTGCATGGCGTTCCTAGGCTATCTGAACAGGATGTTCCTGTATTGAATACTGTGGGAACTGTAACAGAGTGACATTTGTGTATCTAAATATAGAAAAGAGTAAAGTTCAAAGACAAGGAGATAGGAACTTTTCAGCTCTGTTATAATCTTATGACACTGCTGCTATGTATATATTCTGTCATTACCAACATATCACTATGCAGCAAGTGACTGCAGATATCCACTTAAGCAAACTGAACTGTGTGACCATACAGAATTGTTTGGATAAACTGCTAGAAGCAGAAGCTCTTTGGTAACATAGTACATTGAAACAAGAGACTACAAAACTTAAAAGAAAGAGGAATCAAGAGAGTCGAGATAACAAATTCTTGCAGAAGGAGAATGATGGGTTAAATCACGTGAATGAACCTTTCTGTAAGGACAATGAGAAAAGCTTAACAAAATAACCCCCAAATTAAGAATCGCTTGAAGGCTCTGGAGAACTAACAAAATAATACAAAATTATTGGGCTAAGATCTGAGTGGAAGCAGACATCCACAGAGATGAGCCCAATGTTTTAGGGCCACCAGTCCCTGTGAAATACTTCTTAAATCAAAAGAAAAGGTAGCTGGGACAAGTGTTTGATCTCAGGGTTAAGATACTTCTTGGGAGTCAGCGTTGCCGCTGGCATCCCATATCAGAGTGTCAGTTCAAGTACTGGCTGCTCTGCTCTGATCCAGTTCTCGCCTACTGTACCTGGAAAAGCCCAAATACTTGGGCTCCTATCACCCACGTGGGAGACCCTGGCACCTGGCTTCAGCCTGGCCCAGCCCTGGTAGTTGTGGCCATCTGGGGAGTACATCAGTGGATGGAAGATCTCTCTCTGTCTCTCTCTCTCTCTCTCTCTCTATTTTAAAATTTAATTGATATGAGTGAGGCTGAAAATCATTCCATTAGATTATTATTCATAGCCTTTGACTACATTCCTGCTGCACTATGTTTTTACTTTTTATTTGTTTAACAATTTAGTGGAACATTAAGCCTTTGTAATGTAAATTAAAATGTGTTATCGCAAAAATAAAAAAATATATAATAAGTATTTTTGAAAAATGCCTCTTGGGATAGCCACATCTCATGAGGAATGCCTGGTTCTGGCTCCTGATTCCAGCTTCCTGTTAATGTATACCCTGGAGGGATGTAGGTCATGACGGCCCAAGTAGCTGGGTCTCTGCCACCCAGGTGGATGGCCTGGATTGAGTTCTTGGCTCCTGACTTCTGTCTGGCTCAGTTCTGTGGGCATTTGGGGGAGCAGACCAGTGTTTGGGAGCTCTGTCTCTCTGCCTCTCAAGTACATAAATAAAAATATTTTGAAATCCCTTCAAAGTTTGCTCATAATATGCATTTTCATGAACTTTTGGAAGATGCTTCATTTGTATGGATTTCAAAAAGTTTTTGCAACCACATAACCCATCTTTCATTCCATGTTTTTCCCACAAATATTTTGAAATGCTCTCATATTTTCTTTTGGGGAAAGCAAAAATCATTCTAGGCATAAAGCTAACTCCTATAAGAATTTTTTCATTATAATATTCAGCCCATAACAAAAATAACTGGTATTATTGGCATATATGATGGCATATGACCATTAGAAATTATAGAAAATAGAAACAGCCTTGAGGGTTCCCAACAACTGAGTTATCAGACTTTCGGCAGACTTTGAAATAACTACTTTTGCATAAGCAGTGGAATAAGAGGTAAGACTAAAATCTTAGTAGAAAATAAGAAATTATTAACAACTGTCTTTGAGAAAGTAGAAATTATACCGACATATATAAATTAATGGATTAAATAGCAGATGTGATACAGCAGAAGCAATTTACATAGAATATAATGTTTGAGGGTAGACTTGGATAAATAAAAGATGACTACTATGAATCAATGTACCGTTGTGAAGTTATCAATATACCAAGAAGACATACAATTTAAGTGTGTATACAACAAATGACAAAACTTCAAGATATGTCTTAGAACTGACAGAAATGAATCAAGAAATAAAAATGTGTTTAAGAGATTTCAACGTTCCACTCTCTTTAATTGAAAGAGCAAATGCAATGAAAATCAGTATAAGGAAGTGTTGGCAGTGACACCAACCAATTGGCCTGCCTAACATTTATGGAACGTCTCCCCCAACGCTAGTGTCTCAATAAACTGAGAGTAACTGATACGATATCAAGTATGTTCTCAGACCAAAAAGAATTAATACAAGTAACAGAAAACCATTTGGAAAATTCTCAAATTTGTAGAAATTGATCAACACGGTTTATTTTTAAATAACCCAGTATCAAAGAGGAAGTCACAAAGGGAATTAGAAAAAATTTAAATTGAATGTAAATGGGCACACAAGATATCAAAACTTGTGGAATACAGTTATCAAAGTACTTAAAGGTAAAGTTATGACATTAAATGTTTATATTAGATAAGAATCCAACTTAGCAAATTAGAAACAGAAGAAAAAAATAAAACCCAAAGCAGAAAGCAGAAAATAGAGATGAGAACAGAAATCAATGAAATTGAAAGAAGAAAACAATGAGAGAGAAAAATCAATAAAACCAAAAGTTACTTCACTGAGATGATCAATAAAATTGCTTAATCACTAGCTGAAGTATTGAAACACAAAAGAGAAGATTCAAATTAATATATCAGAAATGAAAGAAGTAATGTCCTACAGAATTTACAGACAAAAATTCAGATAATGAAATGGGCAAATTTCTTGAATGACACAAATGACACAAATGAGAAAAAAACTGCATAATCTGAACTGTCCTGTGTCTATTTTAAGCACTGAATTATAATTTAAAACCTTGTAACAAAGAAGGCCCAGATGGCCTCACACATTTAAGGAATAAATAATACCAATTTTACAGAAACTCTCCCACAACAGAGAATGGAAATAATCATTGCCAGAACATCTTAGGAGGTCAGCATTACTTTGATAGGAAAGCAAATAAAGACATTTCAGAAAAGCCAGCTAGAAACCAACATTCCTCAGGGACATACATGAAAATACCTCAACCTAACAATTCCTAGTGGAATACAACCTGGTTTAAATGCCACATTTGATCAATATTAATAAGTCAGCCAATGCACATTATAACTGATTAAAGATAGAAATCATGATAATTTTAAGAAAGGAAAATCCTTTGACAAGATTCAAAATCTGTTAGTGACAAAAATTCTAGGCAATAAAGGGAATTTCCACCACCTGATAAAAGGTATTTCTGTAAAACTTACATCTGACATCATACCTAATAGAGAAAGACTAAAGGCTTTGCTCTCATGCATAAGAAATATTTGCATAAGGACATATTTGCTTTCACCACTCCCATTCAACATACTGGAGATCCTGGACAATCCAATGAGGCAAGAAAATGAAATCAAGGACACAGAAATAGGAAATAAATAAAACCCTCTCTTTCAGGTGACATGATTATCTAGGGAACTAAAACTCATGTTTCAAGGAGGAATACAAGAACTTTGGAAAATATCTTGGCCATGTCATATATAACTTTATAGGTAACCATATCCTGTATGACCAGCCCATCCTTCTTCTAGAGAAATGAAAAACATGTTCATACGAACTCTAGTGTTCAAATGTTTCTCCTAATATTATTCACAATCACCACAGAAACTAGAAACAGTTCAGCTGTCCATCAGGGAATGACTAGGTTAATCAGCTGCTACATCTGTACCATGGAATCTACACCATATTTAGGAACAGAGAAGGAATGAACTAGTCATCCATGTGACGATGTGGGTGAATTACAAGTGCATAATATTAAGTGAAATAAGCCACGCTCTAAAGGCTATGCAATTGCATTTGTGTGACTTCTGCAAAGGCAAAACTATAGGGACAGAAAGATCACTGGTAGCTCAGAAAAGGTGGTTAGAAGGAGGGTGTGACTAAACATGGATGTGAGAGAATTGCCTATGTGGTAGAAATGTTTTGTATGTTGATTTTCATTGCAGTTTCTTATCTGTGTGTGTTTGCCAAACCCTGTACACTAAATAAGGGTAAATTTTACTACTTGGAAATTGTAACTA